CAACGTTTCCGTAGGCCGGAGTGCACCCCAGGTCGTTCCTCTCAATCACTCACTCACTCACTCACTCACTCACTCACTCACTCACTCACTCACTCACTCACTGCTGAACAAGAAAGTCATGTGAAGCAATTTATTTCAGAGGGTTGAGGGCCCTACAGTTGTGCTTCAGCCAATGTTGACCATGCAGACCGCAACTGAAAGGATGTGGAAGCGTACCTCTAGTGGCGCATCTAGATGGCTGAGGCTATAGCTGATGGCCACATACTAACAACATGATACAAAATAGACAGGAAATTATTGGACGAAGGAAAGACAATTCGAACCCAACGAGAAGCATGAGAGAACCTCCAAACCTCCAGCGGTCGTGTCGCAAACCCTGTTGGTTGCAGGGATCATCATAATTGCAAAATCTGCAATGGGGCACAGCATGGTTATCCAGCTGTGCCCAATGAAGCTTGGGGAAATCCAACCCAGGCTATCAAAAAGCGGGTCGTGATGTACTTGATGTTAATGCTTTGAATACCAGAGCCGGGTGGGCCTCTTTGGTCTTTATATACAAGAAATATTACGAATACTTAAATCTACATATAGGTATACATATTCAATGGGCTCGTCCAAGGCTTTGTTTGGCTTGGCCCTCCTAGGCTGGTCTTTTGAGAGGGACGTATTTGCCAAATGCAGCAGCACGTTTCGCAGACAAAGAAATCACTTTTGTGAGCTGTGATTCAGGCTGCAGGGAGTGGACAGACAAACTCCCAGCAGAGCTACTAAAGGGAGTTCCATGCATGACGATTTTTTTTTAGAATCATTTTTCATGTGCGGGTGCGGCACCCTCCTCCACAATTTCTGCCATCAGGAGCGCGCCGATTGACCAAAGGTTCCAACAGGGCAGGATGTCCTAAAAGCAGACTAAATTCTGTCTAAGGAAACGATGTGCCAGAGCATTCAGATATCAATCCTTTTTTTACTCAGTGCCAGCCGCGAGGATACACGAAAAACATATGGGTCCAGATCCATAGTTACAATGGACAGCGCCATCTTGCACAGGCAAATCTTTCAGCAGGCTGCCACTCAGCAGTGTTGAGCAGGAATTGTTAATGAATCCCAAGCCCAGGTAGACGTGTGTTCTTTGCATATGGGTCAGGAAACTGGCCCCTTTCGCTTTCATCAAGCATTTCTTGCAAATAATCCCTGTGCTCCGCATTTCCGCGTTGGGTGCCGCAGTAGTGACCCTGAGTCCCCCGCTATGTGCTTGCACCGGGCCAGCCTTCATCCTGGTGATTTGTGCTTTGTTCCCTTGTGACTTTGCGATTGTCTCCTGGCAACATACACATCACATTCGACACCATGCATCTTGCATACAGTGTTGCATCCTCGGTGCAACATGTTTGGTGCTGGAGCGTTTGCGGGCAGAAAGACATGTCAAAGGACTTCCTTTTTTTAAGGGTTGGAATCAGTCTGAGGAAGGGTTGAAGGTCGCGGTGCTTGAGCTGCCCTGGGGCTTTGGATGCCTTGTCAACTTCTAGAATACAAGTGCCAGGTGACATCCTACATCCCCATTTCCGCGGTACTGCGAGGATGTAGGGCTCCCAGAATATTGCTCGATATGTCACGAAGCTGTTGATTATGCCGAGTCCGTTTAGTTCTGGCGCCAGGCTTCGGACTCTCGGTGTCAGATCTGGCTATCATTGCAGAGCCAGAGGCCAAGCAGGCCATCAAGGAAGCCCGGGACCTATGTTGAGTGTTTTTTTTCGGGAAAGGCTGGGTATTGCAAGGAATTTCCTAGGCCTTCACGCAGTCTGGAGCGGAGCCGTTCTGGACTACCGAAGATCCAACTAGACTCAGACCTGAAGCGTTAAGTGGCTGTGCGCTATCATAGGCGTCTTGTGTGCGCTTTGCACACTGTTTTGTTTGATGTGTGTGTGTGTGCGTGTGCGTGGAAGCTATGCGTAAGCTTTACAAGACGTTGGGCTATGAACGCAAGCAGTATGAGAGACCCAGCTCGCATTATCCGATAATTTGCCCGTTTCATCTCGGCCTCTCTACCAACAGGGGGGGCAGTGTCACTCGCTTGGCCGGCCAGGTCGTGCAGCAAGCTGCTGGTCCTGAAGTGCTGACAGAGTATGTTCAGGCCACTGCGTCCCACAAAGGGCAGTGGTAGACGAAGTGGATCGGCACCTGCACAACCTGC